ATGGGCGGGCTGACAGGTACCATCGATTGGACGTGTTTTGGCGCGTGGTTTTTGTGTACACGATCCTATAAGCCAAAAAATCCGGAAGTTAGCGGTACATATTCTAAGCTCGGAATAAAAAAATCACGATATTTTGAGCTTCTGAAGACGCTATAACCAAACGTACGGCTTCAATTTTCTCCATCTAAATGAGTGTATATTTTGTAGGGTATTTACAGTGGGCAGACTTAGTGAGTTGGCCTCGTTACATCCCTTTCTTTTTATAGAATCTACTGACACTGGGCGTGGCCATATATGTTGTAGCTGCTATTTTTACGAATAGCGTTACAAGGCCCTGTGGTTATACAAGAACATGAGAAGATATCTGTTCATTCCGCACATGCTCATAAATACGAAATTTGGATCCACAATATATATGGCTACCGGGGTTAGGTCTACTATCGCCTACAGTGCACTTTGCCTACAGTATTATCAAAACAATGTTAAGCCCCAGTGGCTGTCACTAACGAGCTCCCTTCAGTATGAATGGACTCTCCCACAATGAGATACTGAGAAAAAAAAATCCTTGATAAGTGATAGCAAAAATTTATTTATACTTTGCAACAAGAAAACATTACAAATCATGACATCAAGACATAACTTGATATGACCATGTCTCACTCATTAAAATACCACATCACTGCGTAAGAAAATAATAAATATTGATTAAACGTCCACTCTTTTCCCTACATCATATCTCACTCATTACAATATCACATTAATAACATGTCACTCTCCATTGATCATATCTTTCACTCAGTCAAGCTTAATGATGTGACCAGCAGCATCAAGGAATTCAATATTCGAATTGATAACGCCGCACTCAGCAATATTCGAGCTATATGACGGCGGTCTGTAAATAATCGAGTCTGGACCAGCCAATCCACTGATTAATATCATGAGCATCTATCCACGCAATTGGGATCGATGACATGTTTGTGGGGGCGGTCGGTTAGCCTAGTATTTAAAGCGTTCGCTCGTCACGCCGAAGACCCGGGTTCGATTCCCGACATGGGTCAGTGCCGTAGCCAGGGGGTGCAGTTACAATTGCACCCCCACCCCACCCCCTGTCCCCTTGGGGACAAGTGATTCTTGTACAAATATATGCCCCCCCCCCCCCCACACCCCCCCCCCCCCCCCACACCCCCACCCACCCCCCACCCCAACATATCAGTGCAGCATTTAATTTTGGCTTTAACAAATTAACAAAGTTTGCATTTACGCTTAACCCGTACTTTTCATGACAAACCAGGCCACCAATCTTTCTGACATACTAGTGATTAGCTGGTAAAACATATTTCAAATGTTTTCTTCGGAAATTCAGAAAATATAGTCTTTATCACGAACGTATACAAACCGAAAAAAACTGGCTTAATTGGGAATATAGATTGTGGAGATATTTGATAGTACCGTTCACCGCTGAAGCATGCAATTATTAATAAGAAAAATATCAATAATAAGTGTGAATATTTCAATGAAGCAACCACAGGCCTCTGTCATTTAGCATATCGGGTTTCTCCGTTTCTGTTTATGATACAAACAGTCTCCGTCCTCCCACTAATTATATCAGTCACGTGACCACTTAACGCAATTGCCGTCAGTGTAATCTAAGCTGCATATAGCTTCTGCAGGCAATAAGTCAATTCCTGCACACGCCGCGGATAAAGGTGTTTCACTGCTTCTCGAATCCAGCTTTATTCATCAATGGGTTTTTAAATGAGTGTATGTGTATAATATAATAAAACAATATCTCTGAATAAAAAAGGCTATACGTTCTTCCTTTTTTATAGTTAGGTGTATCTAATAAGTTCAATCTATATGAAAATGTACATGTATTTGACGGATAAATTTGTAAATTCAAATTCAATCAATTCAATCCACGCAAATGGGATACGATGACATGCATCAACCAAGTCAGCGAGGCTGAACACCCGATCCCGTTAGTTGCCTCTAACGACAAGCATAGTCGCCTTTTACGACGATCATGGGTTGCTGAAGACCTATTCACGGGTCTCCAGGCGTCATGTGGGAGAAAAGCTTAAAGAGACGCAGGCCGTGACCATGGTTGGACCCATGATAATAATGTGGATAAATGTGGAATTCGAACTCACGACTAGCGGACCCTGGCAGCAAGGGGACGTAATTCTGTACAGCAAATTATGGCAGCTTCGACCACTGGTTCACGATATCTGCTCTCCATTAACCTTCTCGTCCACCCCTCAAACATGCCACAGTGGTTGATAGTATGAGTATATATTTCATATTTCCTTTCAGTCGCAACCTATTGGCCTTGTATCATCACTTCAACAATGAGGAAGTAAATTGACCTTTTCGTTTTGGAATCCTTACCTCAAAACTCATCACAGAATTTTGTATGTAGGTCTCCAGAAGTGAAACGTAGATCTAGAACAGCTGATGATAAACGATGAACGAATTGAAATTACGGTAACCGAGGCTTTAAAATAGTAAACATCTAATGACAACCGAACGGTACATTACCCACGTGGTGTTTGTTTGTTTGTTGTTTTACGCTGCACTCAGCAATATTCCAGCTATATGACAGCGGTCTGTAAATAAACGAGTCTGGACCAGACAATCCAGTGATTGACATCATGAGCATCGATCCACGCAATTGGGATCGATGGCATGTATCAACTAAGACAAAATTGTTATGGATGAGCAACTTCTTTATTACAATTGGGCGACGTTCCGGTGTAGATTCTAACACCGTTATCAAGCAAAGTGTACATGTTTTACATGGGAATCGAACGTCTTCGGCGTGACGAGCCCCCCCCCCCCCCCCCCGAACATCCAAGATATGAACAGTAACTGTATTGATCTCCACCGTAATGATCAGTGTGTAGATCACAGTTCCTCGTGCATATCCTTGTTGTGCCCTTGCCCTTGTTTGAAGCCGTTACCGACGCGATAATTCGAGCAGACACGTCAATGTGGATTTCACTTCTTCAGTCTAGGGTTGTATAATTAAAATGAAAATATCACACCGGTTTCCCTTTTCCAAAATGGTACAGACGTCAATGTGGATTTCACTTCTTCAGTCTAGGGTTGTATAATTAAAATGAAAATATCACACCGGTTTCCCTTTTCCAAAATGGTACAGACATGTTGGCTTTTTTGTTTTTTTTGTTTTTTTTGGTGTGTTTTTTTGTTTAACGCCGCACTCAGCAATATTCCAGCTATATAACGAGGGTCTGTAAATAATTGTGTCTAGTCCAGGTATTCCATTGATTGACATCCTGAGCATCGATCCACACAATTAGGATATGATGACATGAGTAAGTGAGTGAGTGAGTTGGATTTAACGCCGCTTTTAACAGTATTCCAGTTATATCACGGCGTGTCAGCTTAATGTGGGGGGAAAGCTCGAAGTGATGCAGGTCTCAGACGTTTACCACTTCGATGAAACCCACGAGCACGGGTATGGTGCTGACAAACCTAGAAACATAATTGGGGCGAACCGGGATTCGAACCCACAATCATAGGTTTCTGGCGTACCCAAGGGACGCAACTCTGCACAGCGAATCGCGGCGTCTTAGACGAATGGGCCACCTGTGCCCCCTATGATGACATGAAGCAACCAAGGAAACGAACCTGACCACCCGATCCCGTTAGTCGCCTCTTACGACAAACATGTTCAGTTCAAGACCAGTTCTAACCCGTAAAGATGGGAGTTAAAACGAGGTAATACACTCAGGAAACAGAATGATTTGAATTAATTGTTGAGCGGGGGATACCGGCGATGTGTGACAGGTCAGAGATTCAGAGAGCGGGGCTGTTTGACTTTGTTTAGTGTCGTTTCAGCTGTTCTTCGTACAAACAACAAGTGTTTGAATTACAGTCATTCGAACGACCTCTTAATAGACCAATTTCGGTTTGGTCTATTGATCGAACGAACATTGTCATTTACAGACAATTAAATACATATTGAACATTCGTAATTAATAAAATACCATAGTTTTACTTATTCTCGTTAGATACCAAGTGATAATCCGGGGCTTGCCGTAAAAGGCGACTATGCTTGCCGTAAAAGGCAACTATGCTTGCCGTAAAAGGCGACTATGCTTGCCGTCAAAGGCAACTATGCTTGCCGTTAAAGGCGACTATGCTTGCCGTCAAAGGCAACTATGCTTGCCGTAAAAGGCGTCTATGCTTGCCGTAAAAGGCGACTATGCTTGCCGTAAAAGGCGACAATGCTTGCCGTAAAAGGCGACTATGCTTGCCCTCAAAGGCAACTATGCTTGCCGTAAAAGGCGACTATGCATGTTGTCAATCACTATATTGTCTTGCTCAGACGTGATTATTTACAAACCGCCGTCATATAGCTGGAGTACTGCAGAGTGCGGCGTTAAACAACAAACAAATAAACAAACAAACCAGAAGATCCATGTTTTACGCTACATTCTGTTATCTGACCTCACTTTTACCGGTCAAACATTATAAAGAAATATGGTATCTAAGGAGAACGGATGTCGTTTTCTCTGTTAGTTACATCGGTGACACCATCGATGTCCATTTCCGTAACATCACATTTTGGAATTCTTCAACAATATAGCCTCAACGTCCTTGGCAAATTATAGATATTCTTAAGTGCGCAAGAGGTAAACACTCAACAGCATGTAGTGAAAACTGCATGAAACATTACACGCCAACACAAACAGATAGGAAGGATCATGGTGTGGACAGAAATAGCTGCCAGTGGATACACCCACTTTTGAAATAAACACGATATAGACACCCATAATGCCTTCCAAAACAGGTGGGAAAAGTGATCAAAACTTTCGTAATTACTGAAATCAACATTCTGAAATGTACATCCCAGCTGCTTAGGTAAGGTTATAGAATTAAGGAACTGCAACCCATTTCAATCTGCAATATAGGATAATACCACGTGTTAAGTATTGCAGAGGGACCTCACAGAATCTTAAAATAGACACAGTTCTTGAGGAATCCCGTTCTTTCGGGCATGCGCTGTGAAGAGGCCAGCTTTCTGTGACTGGTTGGGATAGCGTGTTGAGGCCAGCATAACCACTGAGACTTTTCCCAAGTAGTGTCCTTTTCATCCTCGGACATAATGGCGACCACTACGGTTCAGATACAGCGCCGGTCAGCTCAGGAACCTTGGGGATTCCGACTTCAGGGGGGGAGCGATTACCGGATGGCGTTGTGTATTAAAAAGGTAGGTAAAACGTTAGGCAGTTATTTGCGGAAGTATGCTCGACTTTTCTCCCCCTCACAGCCCTACACCGTTGCCCCGCTATGGGCATGGTTTGGTACACACAGGTTGCCGCTATAGGAGGTGTCCGTGTTTGATTTGTATGTCTTGTTACTTTGTTCATAATATAACACGCGCATTAAGGAATAAGAAAAGAACAGCGTGTGTCAAAGTTTACGGGGTGAATAATGAATATAGAATATATTATTTTGATTAAGGAGGGTCCGCAATAGTGATTCGAACGCATGTTGAATTATTTTATTTTAAGTATATGTTATAATCGATTTCTCGATGTGATGAGTTGACTGTGTTGAGAGGATCTCTTTCGTTTTACTCAGTAATTCACACATAGAACATTTAGGGGGAAAGTTTTTTTTTTTGGGGGGGGGGGCTTGGTCTTGGAATATGATCTCCTTTTATTGACAACTGTCCACATTCCACTAAGGTGAAACATAGAATGTTTTGTTTGGGGTTTCTAGCAATGTGATATGTAATCAATCTGAATGAAGCCATCTTATCTTTTAATTCATGGGAGTAATGGAATGGAACAATTTCTATAAAAACACAAACCACCCCGTGTAAATATACAATTTCGAACGGAACCACAACAGTTTATTTATACTACGTTCAATGCCTGCCACAAATCTCAGCACCTTATCCCAAATCTACAATCAGTATTGACAGCTACATTTGACCGATGTGTATTTCAAGTGGAGAATATAAGTGCAATAATCTTGGACGCGACGTTAAACCCCATTTCACCTCACCTCACCACCTCAAGTGGTGAAATCTACACCAGTCCTGGCTCTTACTTCACCATCATAGGTATGGGGATTGAGAATAATAAAAGAAACCGCACAGATTTCAAGCGGAAAGTTTGACACTAAAACGCTTCTATAAATAATTATAGCAATAAGTATGAGTGACTTTTGCCAAGGTTTGTTTTTATTATAAAAAAGTGACTCGTATAATATCTAAAACACGGTCTAAAATTCGGTTGTCTCGAACCGAGGCTATCGACTCGAATGGGTCTTGTCATATTGCTCATCAGGATCAAACTTGTACCTATCCATAAAAGCAGAAGCTTTCGAGTTAACACTGAAAAGTTAATAGTCACAAGCAGTATGGGTTATGATTATGATGATAATACATGATCCGTGATGATATACACTTTTATAACATATGTGATTATAACTTCAGTGGAAGAATCATATCACATTCATATTACGTCACTTGCGCCAGAAATATATATCAAGTCGATTTTCGTGAGGTTAAAAAGGGGTTAAACTTGTTTTCTTATTTATTTATTTATTTTTTTATTTTATTTTATTTTTTTTGTGGGGGGGATTATGTTAATAATATAACCCGGTTTCTCAATGATAAAAAAGTCGACACTAACAATATTCCTGAAGTATGTTAATTTCTATCAATCACAGGTTGTTGATATCATATCCAATTTCATTTTCTGTCAACCACTATTTGCATTCCATTAACAAACAATCCACAGCGCGCCATCGTCACTGCACATGGAATTCCAGTATCACCGATCCCCCATCAGTAACCATGGAAACCATCCCAAACTATCCCAAATACTAGCACACCAATACGATGTCTCCACGAGAAACCACGGCGTTACGCATCGTTATTCAACACAAATCTATTGTTATCCATTACGCACGTTTAGCCCGTGCTGCATGGGAATTTACCGCAGCATACACGCTGCTACAGCCGCGTACCTTGAACTAGCGGGAGGCGATCCAAATTAGTCCCCGGTAACCCAACACGCTTTCCCCCGCTGTATATGGGTGTGTGCTACATCTTCAGTTCCCACCAGTACACCGAGAAAACCACTCGCCGGGAGGACCGACCGACAAAGCAGCGATATAGCTTGACTGGGCTCCCGTCTACGCGCCAATGCGTTAACTGTTCGTAACCTCACTGTGCTCGTTGTGATAGAACCAGACGAGTGGGGGTATCACAACATATCTCGCGATGTTATCAAACGGTGTTCAAATAGGGCGGGGTCGGGGTTTTGGGTGCATGTGGCACGCACGTTTTGGGAAATGGCACTTAAAATGCCGAGAGAGTTGACGGCATGGAAGCTTTCTTAGCGACTTTCCTTGCTTTATATTGTCCGATCTGTTCTCACGCTAGTGTCATGTTCTGATCTCGACCTGTTTGGGTAGGTTCTTAATAGGTAACTGTTTTATATCAATACTGTAAAGAGGAAACACGTGTTTATGATGTTGAAATAATTTGAGCGGGCCTTTGTTCAAAAGACAAAGAAATAATGTCAGGAAACCTAACATAAATTTCATTTATAATGGATAATAACTTCACGATTTCAGAGTAGGTATGTTTCAAATTTAGATGTAGAGACGGTAGCCCAGTCGCCTAAAGCGCCGCAATTTGGCTGCGCAATTTCCTGTACAGGGTTGTGTCCCTTAGGAATACGAGAAACCTATGATCGTGGGTTCAAATCTCAGATAGCCTAGTTTCTGGGATTGTCGGCACAATATTCGTGGGTTTCACTTCAGTGGTAGACGTCTAGGGTCATTTCCGACGTCCCCCCTACTTCAAGCTGACATCATATACGGGCAAACTGGTACAAGCGGCTTTAAACTAAACTCACTCCAAACGTCAGATTGATCATACCATTTGTACAGCAGAGAGACGCACAGTTTCAATGTAATGATATAATCCATTACTTTTTAAACTCAAGTCATTCAAATATTTATTCCATTTTTCAAACACGTCCACCCACGCAATGTGGTGAAGTGTGAGTGCCCACGGGAATTTGAATCTCCTCCAAATAAACTTCTCCGAGCCAAGGTTACGAGGAAAAACAAACTAGATATTGTTTGGTGAGTGATACGCTCCCAGCAGCGCATAGCTGAATAGCGGGCGAAGTAACAGCGTATCACGTTAATCAAAACATGTCTAAACATGAGCAAAGAATGTGTTCTGGGATGTCACGTTTATGAATCTTTTTCTTTTTTTTCTGATAGAAACAAGTTTATCTGTATTAACATTCCTCGTATGTTACACTTTAATAGTAAACTGTACTATGGACAGATTAACTATAGTAGTGTGAAAGAATCGTGTTCTCTAACGTCCCTGGGTATCATACATATCGGGGGTCACGGGTGGCCCAGTCGTCTAAGGCGCCGCGATTCGCTGTGCAGAGTCGCGTCACTTAGGCACGCCAGAAACCTATGATTGTGGGTTCGAATCCCGGTTCGCCCCGATTATGTTTCTAGGTTTGTCAGCACCATACCCGTGCTCGTGGGTTTCACCGAAGTGGTAAACGTCTGAGACCTGCATCACTTCGGGCTTTCCTCCCACATTCAGCTGACACGCCGTGATATGACTGGAATACTGTTAAAAGCGGCGTTAAAAACCCAACTCACTCACTCACTCACTCACTCACTCATACATATCGATACACAAATTGACATTTCCTATCATCTTACATGTTATCTTCCAAATAGCATTCATCATTTCTAAACACCGCGACATAACTTGAATAGTGTTCAAAGAGCCGTTCAACCCAACTAACTCACTCACTCATCATTTCTCATAACGCCACGGAGATCGGCGTTAAACGACAAACACATAAATATAACGCCACGAAACTATGACGGTATGGAATTAGAGTTATCTTCCTTACATACAGTGAACAGGTCCTATCTCGGTGTTTGTAGGATGGGAGGTTGGACCGGATAGCTATCGCATGTATCATGTTTTAAAGAGAATGTCGGCTCCTTTGATTCATTGAAGGTGGTGAAAACCCGTAGATAGATAGTGACGGTGTATCAGGCCATTACGACGCTGTATGATGTAGTGTTTATCACGGACAGACCACACGCAGGGAATAGGCCGATGTGAACTTACTTGGTTGATATGCTGTGATTCTTAATGATCTTACAAGACACAGACAGCTGTTGCACAAAACAGTATCACACTCACAAATAGGACTTTACCCCGTTGAAACTTTGCCGCAATTATTATAGTGAGTGTGTATGGTTTTACGCCGCATTCAGCAATATTCCAGCACCATCTTGGCGGGGACACCTGGAATAAACTGGACACATTGTGGGGAATCGAACCCGGGCCTTCGACATGACGAGCGGTCGCTTTAACTACCAGGCTGCCCCAATACCCTTCAATTATTGGAAAGGAAGCGATAAAATATGGTTTAAACTATATATCTACAAATCCTTAATTTCAGAGCTGAGGCAATCTCGAATACTTGCCAAACCATTCTAAATGTCTTGGGGGCGGTCGGGTAGCCTAGTGGTTAAAGCGTTCGCTCGTCACGCCGAAGACCCGGGTTCGATTCCCGACATGGGTACAATGTGTGAAGCCCATTTCTGGTGTCCCCCGCCGTGATATTGCGGGAATATTGCTAAAAACGGCGTAAAACCATACTCACTCACTCACTCCAAACGTCTTGAGTGGGACTCCTTTCAAAAATGATTTCTCCAGGGTTTCCCCCAGAAAATATGACGATATACGCCGATATTAAATCTTAAAATAAGAACTATGAATGTTCAAATACCATCACTCTAGACTTGAGTTGGACTCCTTTTTTAATTTGATGTTATTCTCTAGGGTCTGGAATACAGACTTTGGGGATGGGGTGGGGGGTCAATGCACGTGCAAACAGTGTTTTTCACTTCCCCAATTTAGACCCGTGAAGGCGTTGGTTCGCCGACATTTATCACACTCGGTGGAAGACGAATGGCAGTTCTAGTTCTTAAAATAAAGCAATTACATATTTGAAAATTATCTAAGGACTGGTCAGTTATGATATTATTGAAGGGGGTAGGGGGGTGTCATGGATTTTGTTAAGATGTACTTGGTACTTGGAAGGGGGGGGGGGGGGGGGGGGGGGGAGCGCATGAAAGATAGGTTACATGAAATAGGAGGAATCGACAAACATGATTCAGTCCTGAGACCAA